TTATTTGTAGTCCAATCTAAAATCTAAAATGAACATTAACAGTTTAAAAGGAAGACTGAGCAGTATTCATTATTTTAAAATAAACCTTATATAAATTTCTAAAAATTCACCAAAAAATAATCTCATGTATGCTATTACTAAAGAAAACACTAACTTTAGCTCAAAAACGTTCTTAGAGCCTTTTTCTATTATGGTCAAACATGTCCAGGCTATTTCATTTTCTTTCTTTCTTTCTTTTTTTTTAAAAGAAGAGGACTGATTGTTCTGTTTCTGCTGCACTTTGAATCCCAGCACTGCCAGTCTAACACCAATTGATTCAAATTGTGACTTGTGTGACAAAGGCATCAGTGAGGAAACATTCTGATTGCTGGTGGAAAATTATCTCAGAATTTCCCAGAAGAAGATGGATATTCCATTCCTTTTAAAGTCTTACTAATTCTCAATGAACACACACACACACACACACACACACTCATATATGAATAGATGTGCTATTTCTATTAGAGTAAAAAAACTTAGAATTCAGATTTGTTTATTCTAGTTTAATAAAAAATTGGCATACAAACCAAACCAATTTCCTTTCTCCTGATTATGTTCCATCAAGTCATTGTCAACCATGGTAATGTATTTATTACCCTCCATCAGTGCTACTAATGCTGAGATTTGCTGATGTATAATACATTTAACCTGTTTTTAAAATATTAAAGATCTCCAAACCACTTTGCTCCTCCTGTCTATGAAAACATTGGCATTCTTTTTAATTGTGGATTTGAATGTTATGTTAAACCATGGTGCGATATAATGTGAGTACTTCTTACCTCTGTGCTCACTTCTACTTTGAGTTGCCTACCTGATGCTTCAAATGTGTAGGTTGGGGTGAATTTATTTATTCACCTAATTACTTGGGATGAATAAATAAATCTTCTCAAAGTAGTGTTTAAATATGACGAGATCTGTGCAGTGCTTCAGTTTGTAAGACAAAAAGGTGCTTTGGAACATATGCAGGTACCCTTCAAGCTGCAGTATCTTAAGCTAAGACCTGTTTTGTGTAAGGATTTGCAGATGGGCACTCCATATGCTCTGAAGCCTCTTTTTGCTTCAGAATCTGAAGCTCTGCACATCCCTATATGATAATAATTGCTTTTTTGTGGCTAAATCTAATCTAATTCAGTTGGATCTCCTTTTTTTTTTTCCTATATAGTGCACATACATTGAGATAGACCAAGTACCTAAGACAAATGCTGTTGCACTGAGCAGACCTTCCTGGCTCTGGGGGGCTGAAATGGGAGCCAATGAACATGGACTTTTCATTGCTAATGAAGCTGTGCTAGCCAGAGAACCAGCCTCTGAAACTGAAGCCCTCCTAGGAATGGATCTTGTGAGGTGAGAAGCTCATCTTCTGAGCAAGGAATTTATGGGACTGGTCCAGAATACTAGCAGTTTAAAAACAGAGTATCATTTGGTATGGTATTTTTGAAGAACACAAAAGACATTGCAGTAAAAAAAAAAAAAAGCACTTTTGGTAGTATTATTGCATTGGTCATTCTGTGTCTCAAAAATAAAATAAAATAAATTCAAATATATTGTTACACATGAGTGTGTTTATCAGATCATATGCAAAATGTAATTCTGACTTCAGGCATGGTGAAGTGCAACCATATTACGTGATTATATTTCTTTTAATTCACAGGGAAGATTTAGCAGCTGAATCTACATATTCCCCCTTCCCTTCCCTTCCCTTCCCTTCCCTTCCCTTCCCT